TTCCTAAGTTCTTGACCTTTTGGATCAAATAAGGTCAAACAAAGTCATAATCCAGATTGGTGTCCAAAGTGACGCAGACTATCTCATGGAACCGCCGTGGACCTAGGTATATGTCTTAAGTAAAAGGTCACTGGTGTTTAGTTACGTCAGTGACCTTGTTTGACCTCAAAAAGATCATGGTATCGAGATCCCCCCGTCATTTGTTAACCTGTTCGGGCACACTCGATCATTCCGGGGCCCTCCATGCTGTGTCTTGGACACTTCTTATTTGAATATCTATTGAGCTGCTCGGGCCGTTGGCGGATGCAGATGGGGAGCGGGAAGAGAGGGAACCGTGCCCCTTCGGAACCTATGGATCTCCTCGTCATGGATCATGATGAGGAGATCCTCGTCATGATCCATGACGAGGAGACCCATAGGTTCCGAAGGGCACGGTCACTTGCCTTCCCCTACCCTTTTGTATCCGCCAACGGCCCGAGCAGCTCAATAAATATTCAAATAAGAAGTGCCCAAGGCACAGCATGGAGGGCCCCGGAATGATCGAGTGTGCCCGAACAGGTTAACAGATGAGGAGGTGGATCCCGACAACAGCATGTGGTCCACCATTCAAACAAGAAATATGACACCATGCGGAGAGCCCCCGAACGATCGAGTGTGCCCGAGCAGGCCAACATATGGAGACCCCGTCAAGGGCGTAGGCCCCTCCATTTAAGTAGGAAGCACCCAAGACCCAAAGAAAATGGTCCCAGAACGGTCGAATGTGCCCGAGCACAAGGGGCCCGAAAAGAGGGAAGGGGGCTCCATTCAAATAAGCAGCGCCCAAAACCCAGTGTAAGTGGCCCCAAAAAGATAGATTGGACCCGAGAATATCATACGGCCCCCGACAGCAGCAGGACCCTAGGACCCTTTCGACACCAAGACGAATTCGACACGACAGGACAGGACCCTTTCCAACACCAAGACCCAATGTGCAGGGTCTCCGAACAGTACGGTGGGGCCGAAGAGGCGAACAAGGGGTTCCGCGACAAGTGTGTAGGACCCTCCATTCAAATAAGGAGTATGCAAGACCCGTTGTGGAGGGACCCCGAAAAATCGAGTGCACCCGAGCAGGCTATCAAATGGCCCCCGGACAGGAGCGAAGGGCCCGACATTACAATACCCAATGCGCGTGGCCTCCAAACAATCCAGTGTTCCCGGGCAGGTTAACAGACGGTGGCCGACAAGTGTGTAGCGCCCTCCATTCAAATAGATTGCACCCAAGATCCAATTTGGAAAGCCCCGAACGACCGAATGTGCCCAAGCGGTTAAACGGATGCGTCCCCGAGAAGAACATAGGACTCTAAGCAAGTTACAAGAAGTGGAATGACATAGACCAATGTGGAGGGCCCATGGGCATATCCCGGGTGTGTTGATAAATTAACAGAGACCAACGTGGAGGGCCCCTGAGCAACCGAGAATACCCCGGCAGGTTTACATATGGGGCCCCGGCTATAGCGTACAGAGCATTTCTAGCGAATGGAAATAATTCGCGGAATGTCCTGATTGACAAGAGCGCCCCAGGCACGTTGACAGGAGGGACCTGGTAACAGCGCATGGCCCTCCGAACAAATGCAAAGATATCAAGGGCAACGTGGAAGGTTCCTTAACGGTCGGAATGCCCCTGCAAGAGGGGATATAGGTTCCACGGAAATCGCGTAGGGCCCCTGGAAAGGGCAATGAGGCTTAAGATTTCCAATTAACAGTTTCTTCAATCACGAAGATTTTTTTCTTCTCGCGGGCCCTTCACTTACAACCACATTAAGTACAACAAGTACAACCACATTAAGGTGCTCCACCGTGAGAGTGAGTGAGTGGTATTTTCACGGCAATGGGGGCACGGCTAAGCGTACCGCCGCATAAGAGAGCCCCAGGACCAACCAAGATGGGCAAATACTGACAGTGAAGGGCGTGTTCAGATTTTCGTCGCAAAAAATGGCGAGTAAAACTACGCTCATCTATGTGTCTGGGCAGGAGGTCGCGAGCGTTACGAACTACCTCACCGAGGGCTTTTCAAAAGCCATAACTGTGAAGGGCACTCAGGGCTTTCACAGGTTCTCACCAGTGACACCGACGGCTCTGAGGGCTGACCATCTGTGCACCGACGAGGAACGCGTGGTAACAGAAGGGCGGTAATATATAACCATGAGCGCACCAACGCCAAATGTGTGGGTGAAAAAAGCCGACCTGTGGCACGAGTTGGCTGCCAGATGAGCGGAAGGTATCGTTGCTGCATTAAGTCGTTGTGTTGTATGGTGCTTTCAAGGCTAGTTTCAAGATGCTGATCGACGAATTTACGAACCTGCGAAATTACGCCACATAAAAGGACGAAACGTTAGTAAGACAGTTCTACTAAAGTTCGTACTTTCGTGGATTCGCAATTGGTATTGTCGTCGGATGGAGCGGATTTTTTTTTAGTGGTGACTTTATTGTGTTTAATATTGGAAGAACTTGGAAATGAATGCAGTGCATATTTACTTGCAATAACGGAAATCAATCGTGTCTGATTGGCGAAATAGTTCCAAACAATGGGCAAGTGAAGAAAACAACAAGAATCCCTTTAAACAAATGTAGGGGAGGCAAACTTTGCTCAATGTTTACTTCCATAAATGACGCAATGTTTACGATGTATGTTGCACTACGAGTGTCAGTAAAGTTGAGACAGCTTAAGATAGGTGGAGCCCATCATTTTAACTTTTTAAAAATGTTTATTACAGCAAAATTTTCACGTTACTATATAAAATGGCTATATAAGCGTCTGTCTGTCAGTGGGGCTTTACGACACCCTCAGCTGCTGAGGTTATATGGCGTCTCCTGCCTCTCACCCTGGCAGGAAGGGCAGGCACCGCGGAGAATCGAACCCCGTACCTCTGGTGTCCCAGACGCGCAGTGGAACCACTACGCTGCCGGCACCCTAACTATAAGTGGATTATATATGTATACACATATACATACGCGACATAGATGTCTATATATTTATATATTTATTTGTTTTGATTTGTTTATTATTTATTACGCAAAAGTTAACAAACAGGAAGAGTCAACGTTAGAAAATTACCGAGTGGAATGCATTACTTATGCTCATATTGTTTTAAGCAACAATGCAGACTTAAGTATTGTTTTTGTGTCCTACAAAATGTCCTAAACTTTCTCAAAAAATTATACGAATTAACACTCCTGCTCACTAGCCTTGAACTGCCGCGCTTCGATTAAGTGTCAATGAGTGTCTTGATCGTCCTGGGTCAAGGCATTTTAGTTTGGGGCTTTTTGGCCGCATTGCAGGTCTTTGATCATTTCAAGTGGTTGGATATGGGCATTGTGGTTGTGTCGTAACAACACCTGAAATAGTTCGATCTACCCGAAAGTTGATGGTGTTCCGACCCCAGCAGTGTAGGAGTTGATAGAGCTATCCCCGGAGTAGCCTTTCGGCGAGCCCAGCGGCGGTTACGCCCGTGGATATTGGCTGGGTGGCGGCTGATGTGAAAGCCTTAGTGCTTGTTTGTAGGTGTGGGAGGAATAGATGAATCCCGTGGTCATGTTCCATAGGTCCGTATCGTCCCCTGATGCTGTTCCTGATGCGGCTGCCAAGCGCGTAGAATGTCGTCAGGAAGCCCCTGGTAGAAGGGCATTCCCTATGGTTCCGAGAGGCCCACAGTTCTGATCACCAAATGCTTGGTTGGAGGGTCCGAAGACGTGTCGGGAGGTTCTATTAAGACTCCGGCGGCGTAACAGAATGACTTCGCTCAAAGGCACTCCCAATTCTGGACCACAGCGCCACCGATCGAGCCAATTAGCAAGACTCTTCTGACAACTAGCCAATTATTCACCGCAGGGGCGCTCGATCTCCGTGTCCGCCGCCTGTTGTCCCTTATCGGTCAGACGCACTTCATTCGCCGACCGGTGGCGGAGCGTGCCGGGGTCACGCGTCCAACCCGGCCGGGCGTCCAGAACGGGAGTAAAAACCCTCAGCAGCCGAGAAGTTTTCGCCCCGTCCTTAAACGTTACCTTCGGGTAGAGCTCAGCCTAGGTGGGGGGGGGGGGGGGGGGAAGGGGACAGGAAGACGCCCTCAATAGATGCGCGTTTTTTAAGACCGTAAAAATGGTTCCAGAAAGAAATCTGAAATCCCACGCAAAGTGTAAACTAAACTGCATGGTGATATATGTCCCTTTTGTACAGATATATCAAAACAACTCGAATTTACTATTTTTTTCGGTGTTCTTGTATGTCTTCCCATGTTTTCTGACTCCTTACGAAAACCCTGATTGCGCCCCTGTCTCCGGATGTAGTCACATTTGCAAAGAAATGGCGCAAACTGAAGCAAACGAAATGCGTTGATTACTGTCAGTAATAAAGAATATTAACAGCTAACACAAACCCAAAACTGAGTGAAGGGTATCAGAAAAAACTGATATTGAACAGTCTCTTACTTACATTACAGCCTAATATCATTGAACCTAAATGGCGTCCGCATGAAAAACAAAAGGAGACAAAGACCGAAGTCTAACCCCAAGCCATTTGCGCGATACATACGCCACTATTCCCCGCGTAATGCTTACGCATTCATCCACTACACGGACCATGCCACAAATAATTCGCTTTTGTCCTCGTGATATTTGTCATGTTCCGCCCGTCCCGGGGACCCACACTTACCTCGTGGAAGCTGTAGTGCAGAGTGTCACGAATTTCAGGTACTCGCGGCCAATCTCGGCGCCCACAGAGAAAGACAGGTCTCCGGACAGCTGGTGCCGAAGTCCGGCGGCGCTCGCGCCACGATGCCACTCAGAGAGTCATCACCGCCGATCCCAGCGTCTCCTCCGTGAGGCACCGCGGCCCCCGAAACATCGCCCGGCTGCATCGGCGTTGAATTCCTGCAGTATGCATCGATGTCTCAACGCCATATTTGGGTCAATCCAATGTGGGCTGTTACCTGGCCATGTGTCGACCATTGTCCTCTGCCTCCCAGATGTTGCTGTTCCGGTCTTTTCGTCCGCGTGCACTCGCCATCTGCGTGGCCAGCGCCGCCCTCGTGCTCAACATCCGCAGGCGAAGTACACTCCCGGATCGACAGGTGGCAGCAAAAGCGCACAACACCAGCGCGTACTTTACCTGCCTGGACGTGTTTCGACTTTCGGCATACCGGTACCGCTGGGAGCCGGCGAGGGCCGATTTCTGTACGTCTCGCACGCTGAGCCCACAGCAGGTCCGCCGGTGCGTAGAGGCGGGACCGGGCGTGCGGCCCATGCGGGTTGTCTTCATGGGCGATTCGAGGCTCAGACAACTGTTTGCGAGCACGCTCCGTCGCCTGCAGTTGCCAATGCTGAACCGCAGCGTTGAGCTGCCGCTGGGCCACGACCCGCACTACGCCAGCCTGAACATGACGAAGGCCCCTGACAACTGTTTCGAGATATTTAAGCTGTCGATGCCGTTCGAAGGAGAAAAGAAGCCGCGGAAGCTCTTCTTTTGTAGCCACAGGGGCGGCACGCATTGGCTACGGCTCGACTACTTATGGCGCGTCTATATGTCGCGTTCGTTCCGGCGCTCGGTGGACCAGATGGTTGACGCGTGCATACGCCATCCGGCCGCCTGCCCGCGTCTGGTCCTCCTTGGCAGTGGCCTCTGGTACGCGCGCCGTTTCGCCATCACCGAGACGGCGTCGGCAGCCGATTGGGCACTGCGCTTCCGGCGAGACCTGGCTGCCCTGCTTCCTCACCTGCGACGGCTGGCCGCCGTCACGCGCGTCGTCTGGAAGCTGGACGAGCCTCAGTTCAAGGAGGAGGCGGGCTGGGGCAAGCCAGGCATCGTGATGCCGGGCCTCGGCCTGACACACGCGCTTGTCTACAGCATGACAGCCGGCATCGCCAACGTGACGGTGTGGAGCTCTATGGTGCCCGAGTCGATCGACTTCTTCCGCAGCGTGTGCTGGCTGGGTCGGCAACAACCCAACTTCAACACATATCCGCTGTTTGCAGAATGCCAGGACATGCACCACGTGGGTGCCACACTGTTGGACCGCCACGTCACGCAGTTGTTCAACTTCCTGTGCCGAGGCTCAGACGCGTTAAGCCCCGGCAACTGCTGCCACTAGCGGTGGCGGGACGCTGCGACCAGGGCTCCCGCGAAGGCCTTTGGCGCCCGCTCCGGGTCGCGCAGATAAGGGTCACGTGCACGCGTACCACGTTCGAGGCTACTGGCATTTCTCTATGGATTTCCGGTCTCAGGACAGCAGAACGTCGACGGATGAGAGAGAGAGAGAGAGAGAGAGAGAGAGAGAGATGAGAGAGAGAGAGAAGCGAAGAGAGAGAGAGAGAGAGAGAGGAGATCTAGAGAGCGAGAGGAGAGGAGAGGATATCGAGAGAATCCGCTAGAGGAGGAGAGGAGAGAGGTGAGAGAGAGAGAGAGAGAGACGAGAGACGGATGAGAGAGAGCGAGAGGAGAGAGAGAGAGAGAGAGGATGAGGAGAGAGAGAGAGAGGAGAGAGAGGAGAGAGAGAGAGAGAGAGAGAGAGAGAGGAGAGAGCGAGAGAGAGGAGAGTGAGAGAGAGAGAGGGAGAGAGAGAGAGAGAGGAGAGAGAGAGAGAGAGAGAGAGAGAAGAGAGGAGAGAGGAGAGAGAGAGGAGAGAGGGAGGGAGAGAGAAACGGTTTATTGAGAAAAGCATGGCTTCAAGTATCAACTCATATGGCACATGTGCACAATACACATATGAAGTAGGATGCTACTTAGTTGATAACATATGTGTTTATAAGAGTGGTTGTATAGGGAATACTTAATTTGCGTAGTCACGTAGCACAGTAAAACGTTTGGAGTGTGCTTGCGCTCCTGGTATTTTTGCCGGAGATCGCCACTCGCTACTCTGGAAGCAGATATCTATGCATGGGAGGCGTTTGCATTCGTTTTCCTAGCCTTAGGCATAGCTTTTCTCTTCTGTCAGCGAGGGTTTCCATGCCCAAGCGTGGCAAGATGTGCGAGTACTTTTCTGAATGGCCGAAAATTATTTTCAAGGCTCTCTTCTGCACTTTCTCAAGGTGTTGCGCCTGCTCGGCAGTGAGTCCCGCGTGAAAAACCGGTGCACAATATTCTAGCAATGGCCGGATGTAAGCAACATACACACGAGCAAGCTGTTCCTTTGGTGGATGGTACCTTTTCATTATGAAGAGCATAGACAGAGCTTTCGATGCTTTGGTTACAATATCATCCACATGTGCTTGCCATGACATGTTATGTGATATTGTTACATCCAACAGCTTAGTTTTGACGACAGTTGGCAAGTTTTTTCCTTGAATCATTATGTCCAGTAGTGCTAATGGTTTTTTGGCTGTGAAAAAATGCATGAGTTGACATTTGTCAGTGTTCAATATCATCTTCTTTGCCGTTACCCAATCACTTATCTTGTCAGTGTGCTCTTGCAACTGGCAGCGCCGATCTACTTGGTCAATTCCACATGCCTGGTATATGGTAAGTTCGTCTACACCGGGCCAACTAAGGTGCATTGTGGAGTGTCGCATGTTATGCGGCACTCCATGGTACTGGATGGAGATCAGGGCAATAGAACACCGGGTACTCCAAAGTTTTGACCAGTAGGTATCGACACATACTTAAGTATACCAGAATCGGGGTAACTCCAGATTTAGTATGTTAAACCAAAAATTGGCAGTGCTGTGCCAGCGGCATATTTGGTTTGTTTGTGGCGTTTAAGTGTAATCACGTTTCTCAGTCGTTAAACGCTTGAAGTGCGATGGGGTGCTGTAGATGATGGCGAGAGGATCACATTATGTTCAAGTAATTTCAGATGCCTCTAGGGCAATCTGATGTGGATTGTTCTCTTCCAAATCACATTATTTCTCTGTTTACATAGCATGACTCATCTTAAACATTCTGCAGCAAAACTGATCACGTAATGCTCTAGTTACTGCACAGTGAGTCAGTTATGAATAGGCAGTGCGCATACACCATTCAAAACGGAGGGCGGTTACGCACCGGGCTTATGCATCCTCCAAAACACAGGGCGGTTACGCACCGGGCTTATACACCCTCTAAGAATCTTCTAGATGGTTATACGTGTCAAGCATACGCGGATTGGCAGCCTTGGAGAGAAGCAAGTGCAAAAATACAGAATCCGGTGCGAAAAGTCGGCTCTATGCGTGATAGACATCTAACGATCACGAAATTCATCGACTCACTCTGATCCAGTTCTATTATGATCACAAATTTTCGACCACCGCGCCTGTATCTATATTGGATGGATGGTTAGCGTGCTGTATGGCACGCGGTGAGCCCGCGTTCAAATCTCGACTACGGCCGCGGTTAATTGGGTGGATTCATGGTCTATCGGCGCGGCGTGATGACGTTAACTCGATTCACTTCTAAGTGGAATGAATTATATCTGGGGCTTTTCATATCGGTCAGTACCGTAGTTTCTAATGCCAGGGGGAGGGAGTCCGCAACCTTACAAAGATATTGGGGATCCTGTGAAGGTTGACCGTAAATTCAAATGAGTGTGACACACTAAAAAACCAGTGGAAATGACGCATACGACGGCGCCGGCATGTAGAATTACGTTCGGCAATTGCGCGTAAAAATTCATCGGCGCGTATTCGACTGCTGCTCAAAGGTGAAGGCACGGATGCGCATTGAAACGTCCAGAGATCACAAAGTCCGGTGGTCAAAAAGTCCAGAATCGCAGCATCCAGCGTTCATAAGGTCCAGAAAACGTCCAAAACCCCTAAACAGAGAAGAATCATAAAGTCCAGTGTTCATAAAGTCCAGTGTTCATAACGTTCAGCGTGCGTGAGATCCACGGTTTGGGATACTGTACCACTTCCTCGCAGCCTTTTACCTAATGCTTCAGACATTGCCCGATAGAGGGCTACCGGAGCCGATTTCTCCCGCCTCAGCTGACGAGTGACGTCATGCGGCACAGTGGTGCCCAGTTAAACCACTGTGCATGGATATGGACAACGTTTTGTTTGAGCGCTCAAACTTTGCCGCGTCAGCACGCCCTTGGAGCAGGCGCATTAAAGAATTCAAAACTTTGATCCCTGGCTCGTGGCATCGGAAATAGCTGGTTGTTCGGCAGTAGCTGCACGGTAATCGCGGAGAGCACTTGTCGGGTTGCATGCTGTCTGGTATTGTGGGCTATGGGTAAGATTCTCCGCGGTATTTGGTTTCGTTACTTACTGTATGTGTTGGTGGTGCTTCTCATTTTTGAAGGAACTGGTGACTGATGTGTAAGGCTGACTGATTTGATGTCTGCTACAAGTAGGCGCGCATATAGATCTCCGGCTCCTGGCCCGCTAACCTACGTTGTTATCGATTTTATTTGACTGATTCCCCACCCTCGTCCAATTGCAAATCATTTCACACCCTCCTGCAAACGGGACTTATTCTGAATGTTACATGCCTTTACTCTCAAAGAGAAGGGGTGGGGACTATCTCATCAGCTGAATCCGGACACTACTCCCTGGTGAGACATGTGCGATGGCCCAGCCTACCCTCTACGTTGACTGTGAATGTATTCAACTGTCTGCCAAACGCCACGCAAAACACTACGCACGTGCCGCGCTTACAGGCGCTGTTGATTCACCATCTGAACAGCGGAGCCGAATGTATGTCGCTGAGCTGGTTTGCGATAGCTAAGCTGAATGAATTGGGAGAATCGTGAGCTTGTATTCGCCATCCACTTCATCAATCCTGACACGCTTTCTTCCTTTTACGCTTCAGAACCTCTGAAGGATAGAATTTGGGGTCCAGCAACACCAGTCTGGAGTTTATCGAGACGGGTGCAGTTCAATCTGCAGAAGGGCGATGGCGGCATAGTGGTTAGTGGTTAGCGCGCTCATCTCTGGACTTTTCTATCCTGGGATGGAGTCCTGGCCACACCACTACCGCATCCCACGTACCTAATGCCTGATTAATGCGTAATAGGGGCGTACTGCCTTGAAATAGCCATAGCAGGCGGTGAGAAGTACAGCCCCAATCGGTATTACAGCCCGTCCCGACGAACAAACCGCCGCCCGCCAAATTTGCAGACAATGCTTCCGCTCAATCACTGCATATATGTGGCAAGTTCTTTGCGGCGCTACAAAGCTTTAACAGACGTGTTTATTGTTCCATTTTGAGCACAATGGTGTATTTTTGTGTTTTGAGCATACAGTTATGGCATATCGCTACGTCAATGTGACAATGTCGGTCCGCCGCGCGCGCGTTCCACGGCATCGTTGGTTGCTGCCCGTCGCACGCGTCGGCCGTATATCGCCGTGCAGTTTTTTCCCCAAAACCGACACTGCTCCGAAACCAGAAAGCCATGAACACGATTTTGGTGTTAAAACATACAAATGGATGCCTCACAGGTTACTGAAAACTTGGACGCGATCGCGCGACATGCCGGAGAGGCATCCTCAAAGACCTTAAGGGGTTGTATGATCCCCCCTCCCCCTCTCCTACCAGGGCGAGGCTTAAGGCACGCAGGAGAAAACATCTGACCTGTAAGAGGCTCAAGATAGTCAACATCACGCCCTATTGGCCGACATGAGGCCCGAAATGATCCACCCCTGGCCCCATTACAAACACGGGAACCCCGCAAACCCAAGAGAAGGCACCCATTAGAAAGACCTTAGCACCCAATATGCCGGGCGAGGATTTCATTATGCATGCCTAAAAGTTTCGCAAACCCAACCTATTTTGTTCAGCGCATGTTAACCTCAGTTCGCATCTGCCCGAAACGCACCCGTCGACACATTGTTTATATTTGTGAGCTGATGCGTTACCACCCTCTGTTCACAGCCAGCGTTTCAATGCAACCGTCATACACCCTCCATCCGTCAAACCTATGAATTCCCAACAGCTCCTCAGCTCGTGCGCTACACCGCAAGTTAGTCCACTCCTCGCTGCCGACCTTGCCGGTGGCAGTGTTAATTGTCGCCGATACGCCGCTCAGCCGGTCCGCTTTGATGGGTGTATGGCCACCGGTGCGCCGTATTGCGTCCCGCCCCCAGCCGGTCTGACAGCTGCCCCACAAACGACGGCACCAGTGTCCCGAACCACACTCTTGCTCATTCATGCAGGTCGGCCACGGTGTGTTCTCCGGGTCAGATGCTTTTTAGGTGTTCCCGGCCCGTCCACAACTCACGTTACGCATTTACGGCCGTTTTCAGCCCTGCCTTTCCCACTGTCACGCACTG